GATCCCCCTGTAGCACGGGCTCAGTTAAAGGCACTTCCCTTTGTGCTCCGCGCAGTCTGGACCGTCACCCTTCCGACCTTAGAGGCAGATCGATGCCTTTTAGTTATTTCATTATTTCTCCACTCAAGCAAAGGTTTTGAGGGCCTACGAGGCTCCAGGTGCTATTTTAGGTGTTGAGGCCAGAGTGGTGAGGTACACGGACATCATGGCGTGGACGTGCCGACTGGGCAGCGGAATAAACCCGTCTGTTCACGTGGGGACTGTGTTAGCAGCAGAGAGCCACACCCTGGGCAGCCTCAGACAAGTGGGGGTTGCTGTCCCGGAGTTCTGGGGGTGTCAGCGGAGCCCTGCTTTCTCCGCAGATTCCAGGGAAGGGCCCTTCCTTGCCTCTTCAGCTTTTGCTAGCTGCCTGCGATCCTTGGCATTCCTTGGCCGGTACACGCGTCCCTCCGATTCCGCCTCGTCTTCACTCGGCCTTATCCCCTGTGTGTCTCTGGGTCCAAACTCCCCTCTCCTTATAAGGACTCCAGTCACTGGAGTGGGGCCCACCCTCATCCAGTACGATGTCTTCTTAACTTGATGACATCTGCAAAGACCCTCTTTCCAAATAAGGTCATAGTCACAGGTTCTGGGCGGACGTGACTTTCACACGGGGGCAGGGGGACGCTATTCAGCCCAGTGTGGTGACATATTCTATGAGGGCAAGAAAACTGGACCCAGTGGCAATGAATGGGGATGGGGATGCTGCTGGATCTGGGATGGGGCTCAGGGAGGGCCCCTCTCAGAAGGTGACCTTTGAGCTCACGTAGAAGGACAATAGGGTGACAATGGTGGGAAGAGCGTTCACTTCTCAGGGTAAATTTCTTGTTTTTAAAATTTTGATTTGTTTTTCTTTGTTTTAATTGATATATAACATTGTGTAAGTTTTAGGTGTATAACATAATGATTTGATACACGTACATATGGTAAAATGATCACGAGTTCAGTTAGTATCCATCACTACGCACAGTTCTGCTCTTTTTTTTCTTGTAATGAGAACTTGTACAGTCCACTCTCTTACCAACGTGTTATATCTACGATACAGTCTTCTTAGCAGTAGTCATCAGGCTGCACATTACGTCTTCAGGACTTACTTACTTTACAACTGGAAGTTTGTACCTTTTGACCCCCTCACCCATTTCACCTCCGCACCCCCTGTAAATTCTCAAGACAATAGCTTTTCATTCGAAGCCAGAACATCGCCCCCTAGAGGACACCCTACAATCAACTGGGAAGCTTTAACACGTACACGCCAATTCTCAGACCAGTTACACAGAATCTCTGGAGGCTGGGCCCCGACATGGGTATTTTTAAAAGTTCCCCAGCGAAAAGCCGGAACTGAGAACCCCGGTGGAATGCCGTCGGCACAGTGGAGGCGTTCAGACGCTTTATACAGACGCTCTCATTTCACTTCTCAGTGAACTGTTAATGCCGCCTGGTTCCCCGGGGATGTGACGTGTGGGTGGGGTGCAGCCTGGGCCACAGGACTCCTCAAACTCCACACGTGGGCCTCACCTGACTGCTCAGCTCTGGCTGTTTCCTGAAGGTGTCAGGAGCAGGGTGGGCAGAGTCAGGGAAAATCAGGCCCCACGATTCCAGGAGTGCGACAGCGTGCAAGCGGTCGGGGGGTGGGGGAGGGTGTAGCTGGAGGGGCGCAGCCTCAGAGAGAGGAGCTGTAGTGAAAGGATGCACGGAAGTCATCTCGCACAGCACCCCCAGGTGTAGTCCCTTAGTGAATGGCAGCCAATACGTTTAATGTGGGCACGTAACCCTCCCCTCTGGCCAAGGCCGTGACCTGCCGAGTCTTAGACGGTCTTCATGGCCATCAGCTGGCCCCCTCAGCCCAGGTGGCTGCCCTCCACGTGTGCGATAATGCTAGCGATGGCATTTCAGAGCTTGCCGGCACCAGGGAAGACCCCAAGACGGCTGGAAGTCTGCAGAGCCCTACTAAAGGCAGCAGCTTCCATCATCTTCAGGTGGGTCTTGAACCTGGCTTTGCGGCTGGGGAGTCAAGAGCAGGCTTGGCCAGCGGGGCCACCTGAGTGGACATTTTGGCCTCGGGAAGCAGGTCAGCCCATCCCATGAGCCGGGTCGGTGGAGATCCCTTTCCAGAGGCCCACAGATGGGACGCCCCCTGGGCGGCCGCAGCTCTGCCTTGGGGCTCGGGGCTGCCTGCCTGCCTGCCTGCCTGACTCCGGGGCAGCCCGCATGTCGGAGCTGGTTCCCAGTGATGTTAATAAGGTCGCACTGTCTTCTCCCCCAGCACGCAGTGTCTGTCTTCATTGAAGCATGCTCTCGGTAATTTCATTGTGGGGTTTTCCATTAAAAAGTTTGATTAATTCCATAAATATTAAAATAAGACAGATAATTAGAATCTAGGTGCTCACTGTTACACTAAAGCAGTGAAGTCTGCACTAAATTATTATTATTAATAATAAGCACTCGCACAGCACTGGTAATAAGTGCCTGGGAAGAGAAGGGCCCACAATTACCGTTATTAATATCGTCTCCCCCAAGACAGGCGGAAGCAGCGGCTGTGAGTATCCGCGCAGCTGCAGGAGAGAGAAGCCACCAGGGAGGCGGAGGAACCAGGTAAGGCGGCCGGTCCTCCCGCAGCAGGCGGGGTCTCGTCGGCTTGACTCTGATGCTCGCCTTTCTAACAGCCTCCGGCTCCTGTGCCTGGAGTCCGTCCGTGTCTCTCGCTCCCTCCTGACCGAGTCCCCCCAGGCCCAGGCTGCTCCCGCTGCCCCCGCTCCTGAACTCACGGGATGCTGGCGGTGCTGCGGCGGGAGGCACAGGACCTGGTCCCCGGGGCGCTTGCCCGGGAGCCGGAGTTAAACCACAGGTGTCTCCACGCCTCTCTCTAAATCACGTGTGTGAGCTTAAACTATGAATCATCAAGGTAGAAGGGAGGGAACACCAGATCGAGAAATAGGAAAGCAAGGGGGACACTCGGCACACAAAGTGCGATTTTGCTGTGTTGGGTCCCAGGCGTAATGGTCTCACTAGTCACTGAATGTGGATTCCCATCGTGGTCACCTTGGAGAACGGGAAGAAAAAAAAAAGCCAGTTCTTATTTTAAGGGAAGAAGTAAAGTTCTCTTTCATGTCAGTGATTAAGGATTTAAATGTCATAGGCTTGGAACCCAGATCTGGCACTTGGAGCCCAGCAGCCCAGGCCAGGTTGAGCTCTCAATAGTGTCACTTCTTTGCCAGCAAAGTTGAGGGACTCAGGTGACTTGGGAGACTCAGGTGTGGTGCTGGGACAGAGCCCGAAGCCATTTGCTTATTATTTCCCCCAAGTCAGAAGATCTGTGTGTCCTTGGTCGTTACCCAGCCTCAGTGCCTCCATCTGTAAATTGGAACTGATGAAAGCACTTCCTTTAGAGGGCCGTCGTGAGGATTAAATGGGATAAGGAAAATAAAGAGCTTAGGACTCTTTATTAGGCTCCCCGCGTTAAGTGCTGAGTAAATGTTCACTGTGATCTTTTCTCCAGGCAGGTCGTTTTAGGCTTTCCGTTGACCGCCACTAGGGGGAGCGCTGGCCCAGTTTCTGCCTCAGGGTCCTGGGGAGAAGGGCCTGGAGTTCCCACAAAATGAGTGATTAGTGAAGAGAAGGAGGAGGAGGAGAAGGTGGTGGCGGCGTTGGGAACAAACGTAGATGGGAGGCCCTGGGGACCCAGGGCATTTGCAGAACCAGCTGGCGGTGACTGAAGGACGAATGATGCCGGCATCTTGGGTGTAGCCGTCAGCCCCGCAGAGGGAGCCTGGTCTCTGGAGACGGCGACTTCTCTGCCCTTTCTAAGCCTCTGCTGCCCCGTTCCTCACACCGGAACGAGCTGGGTGCTCACAGAGGACATCTAAAGACAACGGCATTTTGCACTGACCTCAGTCTGTAGATTTGATTTGAAATGCATGTTTCCTGTGAAATATCTTTTTGTGCGATGGTGTTTGGCAAGCTTCTGGCAGGAAGGGCTCTGCTGTCTGGTAGAGGATGCCAAATATTAGAATCGGGAGCTGTTGCAAATGCAGTGAATGCTTCTGGCATTTACCTCACCCCCAAACCCGGTCTCCTGTTCTCAGCTCTGGGCTGGTGGGGCTGGGACTCTGCAAGTGGCGTTTCTCTTTTGCAGGCTGACTCCTGTTAGTTCAGCCAGAAGGGCCCCCTGGGAGCAGGAGAGGGGAAGGAGGAGGGGAGGGGATTCCTCTTCCTTGCTTGTTCACTGTTCCTGTCATTGCTGTTCCAACAGTGGTCCCTCGTCCTGTCCTGGGGCAGCAGCAGCAATTGGTCCCGGCTGCTGGCATCTGTCTGTCCTCCCAGAACCAGCCTTAGAGGTCCCAGCCAGCAGCATCCGGGCATCACCCCAGCTTGGGGTCTGGGTCCCAGCTCTGTGAGGCCAGGCTGTCCCCAAGGTTCTAGCTTTGGATCAACCCAGCCCTTCCCACGTTACCCCTGCGCTGGGAGTTGCATCTGCTTCCTGTTACGATTCTCTTGTGCATCGGTGTCCAGCGCCTTTTTCCCCCTTTCAGCTCTCCAGGGCCTGTGTGACCAATTCTCTACGTTACATTCCCTTGTTGAAATAATTGTTTGACTGGAGCTGCTGTGCGTTTGACTCTTGTAAATGCAAGTGGTCGACACCAGGGCTACCTATCTGAAGGTCAGGAGGGGCTGTGGGGCACGTGGAGGATGACAAAAGTGAAGAGCGGATGTCAGGGAGGTGGTGCAGAGGGACATGAAGTGCCCAGAGACAGACTCTGTTCAGTTTTGTCATTTTGTCCAGAGGTCGACAGCGAGCAAGTGGTGCAAATGTCAGGATGCCAGGCGCAGTTTCACAGATAGTACAAATCTATTTCACCAAAAGTGTTCATGTTTCTCACACAGAGAAAAAGATGAGCTTAGGAACAAGAAGGGAGAAGAGGAAGACATGGAGATATATCCTTACAAAGCCTTCTTTCTTTCTTCTCAATATAGCGAAGTGAAAAATTGGGGGACTTCCTCGCTCAGAATCACCTAGAAGAGAAAGGGAGATTTCAATTAGCAATAATCGCGCCTCGGATAAGCCTCATTGGCTACGATACTGCCACTGCGCAAAGCTGAGAAAGGGAGCTTTGAGAAAGAGAGAGAAAGAAAAAGTAATTCGGCATCACAGGGCCAGGGGATGCCAGGGAGGGGAGTCTGGACCGAGGGCAGCACGGAAGCTCTGGGTTCCTGAGCAGCAGAAAGTGGAGGGGGCCAGAAGTGGGAGGAGATGTGGGGGTTTGAGAGGAAGAATCTAAGAATATCTTGACTTTGAAATTTTGCTACGGCATTGGACTCTCCCTCTGGATGGAATAGATTTTTTTTTAAAGATGTTTTTGAAAGGCCAGATGTAAAACAATGTCTGTCACATGTTCTAGGGTGCTGCCCTGCTGAGGATTGCTGCACATTTGTGCTAACACGACATGTCGCCTGCGAAGCCCGAGGGGACGGCAGCTGCCTTCGGCCGGTCTGGGCTCAGCCCTGGGTGTTCGGCGGGCAATCTGACTAGATGGATTTGCTGAGGACAGTGGACTGGTTTTGACTGGTGCACAGATGGCCTTCCCTTAAGTGACATTTGCTGGCTTACCGTGAAAGGACCTCCTGAGAGAGAAGCAAAGAAAGGAGAGCTACTCGTGTTCGTTTTAGTCCTGGGGGACCCTGTGCCCTGGGGCGGGAGGGTCAGGGGCTTTCGGGTTGAGAGATGGGTGGTGAGGCTGCCGGACAGGGGTCCCTTCAGGAGACCCCGGAAATGCGCCGTCTGTTGCGGAAAAGCCATACTAATCGCAGCCATTTAGGCAAATTGATTACGGCTTAGGCCTCGGTGCCAGCAGCGCAGTCATTACAGATGAAGTTGACTGTGCGCTTTATCTGATGACAACAATAAATCCTCTCCTGTCTCGGGCGCTGTAAACTCAGCCTCCAGTTACACGCTGCTCACGGGCTTGTCGGGGGACCCCCAGGAGGCCCTGTGCAGAGGAGTGCAGGGTCGCCGGCGACAGACCCTGGGCCTTTCCGTCCCCCCCCCATTGGCTTGTGACGAAGCTTCCCTCTGGGCTCCTGGGGCTTGGGGTCTCCCTGCGATCAGGCAGTGCCACCCGCTTGGTCGCTCTGCTCTCTCTGGCCTGACGATGGGGAACTTGGGCATCTCAAGGACACTTTGCTGGCTTTTCCAGCAGTTTCCGAAGCCGCTTCTCTCCTGTGCGGGGGCCTCTCTGTGCTAGGCCCTCCCTCTGGGGGGCTGAGTTGTCACATCTCCATCAGAGGAAGACGATGTCTCTGAACAAAGGGTCCTGACTGAAGACAGGGCCCCGTGGAGGGGTGAGAGCGGGTTACTCGGATGCCAGTTACTCCTCTTTACATGAGAATGCTGTTAATTATGCCAGGGCCGGGTGCGGCCCACGATGGCACTTGACAAAAGGCACACAAATCATGGCACAGGGGGCCCTGGAGCCCGGAAGACAACAAGGCCCCGAATCCTCAACTGGACCTGCGGGAATCAGAGCATCTCAGGCTCTTCAAAGACCCACCCCTTTGAATCTCTCGCCATGAGAGGAGCCATTTGCAGCCGCCACATAATGAGGGTTCGAGCCTTTGGACCCCTGCTTCTCTGAAGAGCACACCGGCAGCGAGGGCGCCTGCCTCCGGCCGGTGAGAATGAAGGAAGGACCTCCTGAGCCTTTAGCAGAATGGAAAGGAGCTGCCATTTGCCCAGAAAACCAGGGGCTCCCCATAGACCAACCGAGGAGGAGGCAGACCCCAAGAGAGGTCGCCAGGCATCCAGGGCAGGAAAGGCGCCATCTCCCCTCAGCTCTAGAACGTTCTGCTAGGCACATCAGGCTCCCCTGTGGTGAGAGGCACATATGCCAAGAAGGAGGAGGCCTATGGGGCCGCCGAGAATGTGTGTGCATTTGCGTATGTGTGTGTGCATGTACATGTGTGAACGTGCATATGTGTGTATGTGTAAGTGTGTATGCATTGGGCGTGTATATGTGTGCATGTGTGTGCATCTGTGTATGTATGTAGCATGTACGAATGTGTATGCATGTGTGTAAGTGTGTGTGTGTGTGTGTGACTTTGGCGTCATGGACTTTGTGATAGTGCACATTTCTTTTTTGGTTGATGCTATGGTCATTTGGATCTGAGCGTTTTCAGTGAGGTGGGTGTGAGTGAAAGCAGGGTGAATTCTCTACTAGGGTGAGGAGTGTGCCCCCAGATTCATTTCCACCAGGAGCCTCAGAATGTGGCCGTATCTGGAAAGAGGGTCTTTGCAGGTGTAGTCAAGTTAAGAAGAGGCCATACTGGATTGGGGTGGGCTCCATTCCAGTGACTGGTGTCCTCACAAGCAGAGGAAACAGAGGCCCGGAGACCCTCAGGAAAAGCTCCACACGATGTCGAGGCAGAGAGCAGGAGAATGCCCCCACAGACGAGGGAGCCCCGGGATGGCCAGCGACCGCCGGAAGCTGGAAGAGGCAAGGAGGGTCTCTGGAGATTCGGGGAGGCTGTGGCTCTGCCGACACCTCGATTTTGACTTCTAGCCCCCAGAACCTTGAGGTGGTAACTTTCTGTTGTGTGAGCCGCTGTGTTCACGGTGCCCTGTCCCGGCGGCCCTGGGAAGCCACCCCGCATCTCCCTGCCCCCCCCCCCCGGTGCTGGGCGTGGGCCTGGGTCTGAGGAACAGACACCCTCGGGGTTTCCAGCAGGTCCTGGTTGGCAGATTTGGCACACACAGAGCAAAACAAAACAAGACACCCACTTACATCTGAATTGCAGGACAACAACAAATAAAAGTTTTTAGTGCATTTGCCCATTATTATATGGGACATACTTAACACCGACAAATGATTCATTGTGGATCTGAAATTCAGTTATAACTGGGCGTCCTGCACTTTATGTGATGTTGCTCATGGAAAGTCCTGTGGGGCCTGCACGGACCCTCCTACCCAGGAAGGTCAGGGTGGCGGTTGGAGAGCCCGGTAGGGCTGCTTCTAAACCCTTCTTGCGTCTCCCTCGGGGCTCCCTGAGCCCTGCCAGCAGCCTGCAGTCTGAACATCATCTCCACCAGCTGGATGCAAGTCTGGCAGGTCTGGAACATACAGGGGGAGGCTCAGAGGGGAGCCCACTGCCTGCCTGGGGGAGGCCTTCCAGCGGGAGGAGCTGGCGCCCCGGTGATTCCTGCTGAGCGGCACTTGGCATCAGCTTCTGCACTTTGATTTGTTCTATTTTAAACTGTCTTCAATTTCCCTCCTGGGGAAGAAAGAAGAGGTTAGGAGAAGACTGGGGGTGGGGGTGGGGGTGGCATGTGGAGTGAGTCAGGGCGACTCAGGAGTGTGTGGGAAAGCAGAAGCCGGTTGGTGGGGTTGTGTGGGATTCGAAGGCAGAGGCGAGGAAGAGGGAGCTGGCAGGCAACCTGGCTGGAGTACCAGGCATCTGAAAGGGCTCTGGGAGAGGGGACAGGCCCGAGGGGACACAGAGGGGCCGGGCCCAGTCCCCACCCAGCTATGCGGCAGGAGTCTGTAGGACTCAGTGGCCACTGACTTGGATCTGGGGACAAGGTGACCCTGAGGACACGAGCCTGCCTGCCTAGGAGGACTGGTGTCACTTCCCAAACTCGCACCCCAGAAGGATGAGGAGGAGGAGGAGTCAGAAGTAGAGGCCCCCCCAGCATGGCGGAAATGACCGCAGGCCGAGAGCTGGCCCCATTCCCCCCCACTGCTCGTTGTGGGGGACAAACTCCAAGAAACCCCTCCTCCTGCCGCCCGTGGGGAAGGCAACTGTCTGCCTGGAGGCTGGGGCCGCGTGTGTCTGCAGAAGCCACGTGTTGGCGTGGACGGGCCTTGGTCCCCAGGGCGGGGGGGACAGGAGAGCCGGCCCCTTCTTCGGGAGCGAGGGCGGCGCCACCTAGCACCGCACTCAGGGGACTTTGTAATTAGTGAGTGTGGAGCGGTGGGTCTGCGGGCACCTCGGGCGTCAGAGGATGGGGCTTTGTGGAAGCGGCATCAAATTCTGGATAAAGAGCAGCGCTAGAGGCCTTCAGGGTGGTGGGCGCCCTGGCTCCCAGGCCGGTGGGAGCAGGGCTCCAGTGGGAGGCGTCCGGGTGCTCTGGGACGGAAGGGCGCTTCGGTTAATTGGGAGGTCAGCCCTTGGACTGCTCATACACCTACCCGCCAGGCAAAACTGAGTCCTGCGAACTGCCCGACACGGTGTCGGAGGCCGAGGACACAAGCACAAGGGCTCCCGCAGGGTCTGCGGTGTCAGACGCGGGAACGCAGATGCAGCACCATCGCTGTGGAGACAGGAGACCCTGTGGCGGGAAGGAAGGGGCCCACACGGTTTCCTCCAGTTGCCCATCCAGGTTCCTCGTCTGTAAAATGGGGAGTGATCGCGTCCGTCCTCTGGGGCTGATACTGTTGGATGTGTAGAAATTTCCCTGCATGATTCACCACACCTTGCGGGCGCCCGATGAACAGGAGCCACTCTGGAAATCTGTGCAGAGACACAGGGCGTAGTAACATCTGAGCTGAATCTTGAAAGCCGGTTGGGTTTTGTGCCAGGAGGAGGGGCTTGAGGCCTGGTGTCTGATCTGCCCTCCCCTAGCACTTATGAAGCATTTAGTACTAAGCCTTATTTAACTTCCGTGTCAAATCTAGTTCAGATTTTGGAGTCAGAGCTGCTGGGTTCACATCCTGGTTTTGATGTCTGTAAGCTGTGTGACCTTGGACAAGTTCCTTTAGCTTTCTGGGCCTCCGATTCCGCAGCTCAAAGAGGGGGATCATAATATCTATCGCGCAGGGAGTTGTGTGAAGACGAGGGGACCACGGTGCAGCTGCAGTGAGCGCTGCAGACGTCCCTGTGACTGTGGTTACTGCTCACGGTGTGTGATGAGGGAACAGCTCCCACTGGGGTCTGCACTGCAGAAGCCCACGCGCTCCCTTCCTGGGGAGAAGACCCCGCTCTCTAGAGAGACGGAGCAGAGATGCAAGGCCAGCCCACTGGAAGGGGGAAGCGTGCAGAAATGGTGAAAAGGGACGGTGTCCCCGCATCCTCATACTCTCTTCCCAAGGGGGAGAGGCCACAGTG